ATTTACTATACTAAACATAAACTAAATATCTAAAACTACGAAACCCTTAAATCGCGGGACTATCCGCGATACCCCGCGACGGATGGCCCAGAAAACGTTCATTCCACCAAACGTATTCAGGGTTCCTCCCATGTTTGCCGCACGACGCCTGGTCTGTACGAAACGGTACACCCCTCGTAGCTCTCGCGTATGGTACCCGCTCCTCAAATCACAAGCAAACCCTTCTATCCAAATCCACTATTTCCCGACCGCATACTCAAAACATTCATGCGGAAGCTCGCCAGACGCTGCCAGGCGCACTGAAATCCAATCATTCAAAGTTACTTAAAAAAGATAATAAATAGAAGGAAAGTTATGCCTTTCTGGGAGCGGCTATATATAGCCCTCCGGTTGGCAGCGCGCCAGCTAAAGGGGTCTGACCGCGAAAGCAGTAGCTGAAGATCTGGCGCAGTATTTATCAAGCTCCTGTACATCCTTCTTAAGCCTGTTCGGGAACCTACTGTGCAAAGGCAGCACGCAGCAGCGCGAGCGGGTGCACATATCAAAAAGGCCTGCTGGCGTCAACTTTGCATATCGCAAATGTTTGAAAACCACCGTTTTTTTTTTATTGTTTTTTCTTTCCTTTTGATTCTCGAGCACATTTTTCATGATGTTATGTGACTGTGATTATCATGCCAACAATGGTAAACTCGGATTGAGGAGTTAAATTCACTTTTATGAAAAGTACAGCGACCGATTTTGTCTAAATATCAGTAGCGCATAGAGTCATTGTATTATATGACCAATCAAAGCACAGAAGTAAGCTAAAATTGCAGGAATGTGCAATCAAACGAAAAGTCGTATTTCTTGTCCGAATCAAATCAATGCATATCAAATTGTATAAAATTGAAGGCTGGGTTGTATCACAATAATTATCAGAATTTCCCATCGCCATACTGTCTGGACATTGCACTAAAACAGTGCATGGGCTGGGTGTCCTATCTGGCAAGTTTGTCCATGTCGGGCATGGCAGGCCCGATCTCGACAGATCGGGCTTTGTTGCCAGTTTTGACCATGCTAACCAAAGCACCGTCCGGGCCGTGTATAAGGATGCGCGCCCGAACAAAAAGCGAAAGATTGATGAATACTGCCCCTGAAAATTGTGAATATGATCCCTAGCTCGCAAGCAGTGGTTCATCGAAAAATTCGATATCTTGAGATCTCTATTTTCACTATAGACATGATCAGTGCCATATGTTACTCCCAGCGCAATTTTACAACATTTCCATCAAGTTTATAGGAGGATAAATGACTTTAAAAATGAGAGGTGGTTCCCAGAAAATCCCTAGGGAACCACTCGAAACAGTGAAAATATAACCTTGTATGGCATTGACCTGGCATTCGTTATGCGCAGGAATCAGGGCATGGGAGCCTCCATAAGCTAGATAGAAGAAGAAGAAGAAGAAAGATATCTAAAGTAGCGAGATATGACGCATCTCCTCTCAGATTCCCTCCTTTCTCCGAGGGGATGTACGTGTATATGGGCCTAATATACATACTTATAATATAATAAAGTGGGCACTTCGCCAATTAACAAAGCCAATACCTTGCAACGCCCTCATTTGAGCAGCAGTGCTGACTTGCTAACGAGAATCTCCAAAATGAATTCACTCCTGGCTGTAAATCATAAAATGAATGCGATAATATCGATCAATTATTGCTTGGAAAAGATAGAAAATCTAACTCAAAGCTAATGTTTTGACAATTTTTTCTATTAAATTACCAAATCACACTTTATGGCTTTGAGGAGATAGTGATAGTTATGTGTAAAGTGTGTCTTTTGGTATGGAAACCGATGACGAAGAGAAAATGGCACAGAAGTGTTAGATCTACCCAAGGTTTTTTTGTATTGTTCTTCATTTCATAAAGCTTAGGATAAGTGAATCTGTAGAACCGTTGAGGGTGCGGAAAGTTTCTCAACCGAGCCATATTTTCGCACCCAACCAGTGGTGTGACGTGAGTGAAGTAATGTCACGAGCTCGCTATAACGGCTCCTCTGATACGACATTGCAAGGCCCGCCCCTACATTGTCCAAGAGCTGACCAGAATTTCAAAGATGGTTTCAAAATCGAAGCTCAGTAGCGAAATTGCTCCAATCAACCAAATTTCGTATTTGGGGGTTTTCGAGGCTGCTTTTTTCAGTAATGAGATTTGTTTGTTGCAAAGTCAAGGTTCAGCGCCGATAGTGCACGTAATTTGGAGATGAACCCACTCGAAACCTTAGAACGAAAGAGCGCTTTCAAACAAATTGCATAGTGTTTCATGACAATGTAATTTTGTCTTGAGCCAACACTTTGAAACAAATTGTGCAAGACTGCATCAATTCCGTCACAATCTAATACTATCTACTCCTTCTTCGCGATTGCATGATGGCTTAGAAACTCATCGCGCAATGCTGGCCATTACGAAAGGATCGAAAACAACTGCTCATTCCAAAGCATCTCCATGCACGATCGGTAACTTGGGAGAGGAAGCTATTGTATCATAAATCAAATGCGAGTTTGATTTGGTCACCGATCTAATAGGGCTCATTAGTGCAATAGTGACAAAGATAGTAGTAGTTGAAGATAATAGTAGCTAATATACTTGATGCCTACAGCTTCTTGCAGCTTTCTTCTGTAATGGTTCAAATGCAGTGGCTGGGAAATCGTGACTGGGAGGTTTTCACAATTACATGACCTTCTGGACCATCTGAGTTAGGTACTGTGCTTAAATGTCAAAGAAGTGTTGTTTTTTCTTAAGTTTACTGGCCTTGCAGATTGCTGGAGAGGCGGGGCGAGGGATTTCCGCCATAACCGGCAAATGACTGCAGGATACTGTAACTTCACTACTTTGGCAATTGGCTAATCTACCCAGGCAATCAATACGATAACGGAAATCAATCGTCCTCCCACCTTTCCAGCAATCTCCAAGGCTAGAACGCCAAAAAAGCACTTTTTTGACCTCTCAAGCACAGTACCTGACTCAGCTGGATCAGAAGGCCGCGCAATTGTAAAAATCCCCACTAAAGATTTTTTCGAGCCACTGTCTTTAAAGGCAATGTCCAAGCAATAACTCGATTTTTAAAAATCCACTTGACGGAGTTATTCGCAACGCTGAGTCTTAAAATCGACATTAGAAGGCGCGAAAACGGCGAGAACATGAGTTTTTTAAATTTGATACAATTTGAAATCCGACGGTCCCCGCCAAGGCTGAGACGCAGAGTCAATGCGGGACCCTACGATTTTGACTGTGGCGGTAAGCGTGCTCTGCCGAATAGCAAAAATCTAAACAGGAACCTATGAAAGAATGAAAACTATTATCACATGCTCTTTTCCATGACATCACACCTTGATTGAAAGCGCAACTCAAATTTTTACGCTTACAAACTCAATTCAATATCAAAAGTCGGAGAAGATTGGAAAAACTGTGGTTGATTTAGATCATCAAAATTGCTATGTTACCTTCATTGCGAAGAAATTTTAATAAGTGAAAACGCTTTATAATAAAAGAATGGATCAGAGTAGCATCATTATACTATTTTTAGGATTATTTATGAGATGTTATAAACTATCAGAAATCAGGAAATATTTCGAAAAGCTGTCGTTTCTTTTCATCTAAGAAAATTCAAAAATTAGAACCGAGATTTCAAAACCAACTTATACACATTGATTTTCACAAAGATATCATCTTTGATTTTATTTGGATGAATACATAAAATAAGTTCATTATTACGAAGTATTACTACGCTGAAACAGATTGAATGACTGTATATAAATATTTTCTAACACTTAATTTCTAGCCAACATGAATACAATCATTATGATGCAGATCGCATGTATCAACGTGCTCCTACAAAAATCTCCATCATCCTTGATTGAGCGCGAATGTTCATAGTCCAATTTTGCCACATATCACACAGATTATTCCATAATCTCCCAACTTGACAGTGCTCTTCGCATAGTGAACACTTGATCGTTCTATCGCCAATCTACTTCGTTTTACAGAGCACTAAGAAGCAAGAGTTAATAAAAACGATGGCATTGTTGCTATTCGTTAACCCAAACCATCTAATATACCTGTGAGTTATTTTTTCATCTTCTTTTCATCTTTTATGTCACACTTTCTAAGACCTCGCTACTAATGAGTTCGGGAAAAAATCATATTCTTTGTCTATTTTCGAAGGCATAAAAGAGTGAGTAGGACCGAAGCGGGATTGTTGTTTTGATTTTTTCTGATAATTATTGATCCATCCGGTGGTCTCAAAAAATTTTTTCATTTTGATGTTCTTGAGCAATTATTCATACATTAAATTTCTAGTTAGGGTGCGGGTAATGCTCGACAGAGCAATGCAAGCTCAATAAGATTGCGCATCAGTGTATGCACTCGCATTAGAAGTTGGTTCCAGATGCTTGAAAATCAATAACTTCGTTCAGAGAAAACCCCGAATCTCCCACTTGCTCATGCATACGAATTTCACACTATGCATTCATATATGTAGTAGCCGTACGTCTTACTAGTCTAGAAACCGAGAAAATTCAAAATTTCACGCTTTCAACAAAGCTATGTCGTGCTGTTCTTACATAAGTAAATGTATACTACAAGCCTTAAATGTACAACACAAAGTTTCAGCCTTCGAGAAGCGCCTCTTTCCGAGAATTATCAATATAAGTTTTGTAAAGGATCTTCTATGTCAAAGTAAGACTTCCTCGGGAAAGGAAGCTTGTAGAGCGCTGGAGGTTCGCAGGTGTACTTCAAAAGGCTAGTAGTATACAATCTATGCGGGAACAGCACAGCGAGAAATACGAAGTTCATGAATTATCGCTGTAAAAAGTAAAATGAAAAATCTATGAGAGGCATTCTAAAAGATCACCAGAAACAAAATATTTTCATCAATGCAAGAAAGCTTTATATCGAAAATGGCTTTATGCTGAGTATAGATATAGACATCAGACTGAAACAGTCATCGACTAATTTTTGAACTATTTAGTGACCTTCTTTTTTAAGCGATCTACTGGCCTGCTTTTATTTGCGAGTACTGCGATTGTTTTGGGTTGAGCAAATAGAAACAGCAGCCTCCTTTTTGAATGTGCTAGGGCATCGTCTTTTTTATGATATTTGCTAGTGTTTCTTTGTCTAATGGTGCGTGGTGGACAGGGGCAGTAGTGACCGTCACCGCCTGGCATACCAGAAGATCCAGGAGGTCCCCTTATTCCATCTGGTCCCGGTGGCCCGGCCCTTCCTGGGGGCCCTACAGGGCCTGGCGGACCAGGCGATGGTTCTACACCGTAAAGTCCTTCTGAGCCAGGTGGACCAGGCGGTCCCATTGGACCCTGCATTCCAGCTGGTCCTGGTGTGCCGATGCTGCGCTGTCCTGGGCTACCTGGCATACCTGGTGCTCCCGCATTTCCAGCTTCTCCAGCAGGTCCGGGATCTCCGGCAGGTCCGGGCGGTCCTGGCGGGCCCATACCTCCTCCCGCTCCGCTTTTTCCAGGCATTCCAATGGGTCCAGGCAAACCCGCGTGTCCATCAGGTCCCGCAGGTCCGGGAGGTCCTGCCGGGCATGCTATGCATCCGCCAGCTCCACCCCCATGACTTATAGTGATTCCATCGTTTCCACGTCTACCAGGCGAACCTGGTGGGCCATCCTCTCCATCGGGCCCAGGCATCCCCGGTGGACCAGGTGGACCAATCGGGCAGCTCATTGATATCAATGCGCAAGCGCAGTGTGCTGGCCACTGACGAGGTTTTCTGGGCTTTTGCATGGAAAGACCACTTCTTCTATTTCGTGCGAGGTAAGACGGCTGCATCTCATGCCATGCTGACTCGGCCAGACCCTAAAAGATTTTCTCCAGCAAATTGCACTATTGCAGAATCAGAATGTACGTTAAACTCTGAAAGCTCTTGGATGACTTCATCGTAGAAGTCATTGATATCCTTCACCAAGTAGATGATGATAAAGACACAGATCAGGCTTATGATGCCTGTGCCAGCTACACTGACGACAAAGAAGGTTTTGGGCATTCTGCAACAATTAAGAGCTTCAACCCACATTGAAAATCGATGACGCACGACTTACTTGAGCACTCGACGGCTACTGTTTAAAAGTAACGAGTAAGAGTACCGCACTCCCTTTTATAGTAGTTAAATTAGTTTACGCTGCAAACGCCGAAGAGTAATTATGTGCACTCGTCATTTATTTGACTACTTTTTTTTCTAAAAGCAACTTACTGTTCAGTGAAGTGGATTCGTTTGTAGTTACGTTCCTCATGAGCGTTAAACTTCTGAATGGTACATTTGTGTTGAACTAGATTTACTACAAGAAGAGAAAGTCTACACTAGTTGAGTGCAGCAAGTCTTGTCGATGTTTAGCCCATAATAGCTCGGAAGGTTGAGCTGCCTTATAGTCTAGTGGTTTTTTTATCATATTTACGCCGCCACGCCCCCTTCTAGAAATTGGGGGCTGTGGGCTAAAAATTTTTTGAGTAGGAGTGCATGAGCGCCACGCACTCCTACTCGAAATACTTATTCCCCCCTCCCCCGAAAACGGAAATCCTGGGACCGCTATTGCGTACACTGAGTAATTGAAGATTGCTTTGGCGCGCAAGCGGGGGGGGGGGGGGAGCATGGTAGGGACTCCATTGAAGGCAGCCTCCAGGCATCCAGGCAAATCTGAACATATGGACATTTCACATGGATAAAGTCTGGGACCCTAACCAGAGGTGCGATAGGTGGAGCCGGGCCCCCCAAAAGTGAAGGTGGTTCCAGCTACCACTGGCCGGTCAAAAGTGAAGGTGGTGGTGCCGGACACTCACCTCCCAAAAATGTCGACCGGGGGGGGGGGGGTCGCAGCTACCACAGGGCAGCAAAAATGAAGGTGGTAGTGCCGGACACTCACCTCTCAAAAACGTTGACCGGTGGTGGGGGTAGAGAGGGGGGGCACAGGACGGACTTTGAACTGGGTTTTTTGGTTTTTTTTGGTTTGGGTTTTTCTTCGGACTTTTGGGTATTGATTTTTTTGCTGAAACTGAAAAAAAGGAAATTAAGCAAAACGAACGCAAAAGAAAGTATTGAGAGCATATTCTATGTAGTTTATTTTTAGGAAATCGCCGTCGCCTTCTGCGAGAACTGGAGGTCATCACCGGCATGGACGCATATACGCCTCAGCACTTTCTACTATAGAGCAAAGCTTCATGATGACTTCGGACAACTGAAGAGCTCTAACCCAACGGTCCTCTTTAGGGCCAATAACTGCGACCCAACGGCCCTCTTTAGGGCCACAGATACGATGAACACAGCGGCATAAATATTCGAAATAAACGTGTCAATGAAATGGTGTATTTTGAAGTGAAACTCAACGACACTCTACAGATTTTATTAAGTAAATTTAGCTATGTCGTACTGCGAAGAAAGTAGGTCGATCCAGGAAGTATTTGCCGAGAACCAGAATTTTGAATGAAAAAATAACCAGAAATCATGCAAAATTGCCACTGTTATAAACCAAGTGGTTGAAGATGTCAGCAACTGCGACTTCATAGTTTTAAAGGGTAGGTGTTGCTCTAACAGATAGTGAAAGAATCGGGTCGATTTGAGCAGTGGTCGCTGAGAACGAGAATTTTGAAAAATTAGGCGATTTTAGGCTAATTTTTGACTGCTGACATTTGAACTCCTAAAACTCTTGATTGTGAAGATGTATGATGTTGCGACTTCATAGGTTTTCTAGGGTAAGGTTTGCCCTACTAGAATATATCTTACTCGTACCAATTCATCAAAGCACCGCCGAGATCCAGGCTCTTGAAAAAGCAGGTAAAAAACAGCTTTTTGAATTTCAACAGCTCGTAACTTCTCCAGAACTGCATGAATCATGTTGCGACTTCATAGGTTGAATTCTTCTTATCAAGAGCTTTCAGATGATATATAATATGTGGGAGTTTCGCGCCTCTTACGGCATATGCCCGGGGGGGGGGGGAGACTTTTTAGGCCAAAGTCTCCCCCTGGCGGCCTCCAGCCAATACATTAAAATGGGCGAGGGGGAGACTTTGGCCTAAAAAGTCTCCCCCCGGTCATACGTCGAAGAAGGCCCCAAACCCCCATATATCATATATCACCTGAAAGCCCTTGATGAGAGGAATCTAATTTATGAAGTCGCAACATGATTCATGCAGTTCTGGAGAACTTACGAGCTGTTGAAATTCAAAAAGCTGTTTTTTACCTGCTTTTTCAAGAGCCTGGATCTCGGCGGTGCTTTGATGAATTGGTACGGGTAAGATATATTCTAGTAGGGCAAACCTTACCCTAGAAAACCTATGAAGTCGCAACATCACACAAGTACTCTGCGTTGATTCAAATGTCAGCAGTCAAAAATTAGCCTAAAATCGCCTAATTTTTCAAAATTCTCGTTCTCAGCGACCACTGCTCAAATCGACCCGATTCTTTCACTATCTGTTAGAGCAACACCTACCCTTTAAAACTATGAAGTCGCAGTTGCTGACATCTTCAACCACTTGGTTTATAACAGTGGCAATTTTGCATGATTTCTGGTTATTTTTTCATTCAAAATTCTGGTTCTCGGCAAATACTTCCTGGATCGACCTACTTTCTTCGCAGTACGACATAACTAAATTTACTTAATAAAATCTGTAGAGTGTCGTTGAGTTTCACTTCAAAATACACCATTTCATTGACACATTTATTTCGAATATTTATGCCGCTGTGTTCATCGTATCTGTGGCCCTAAAAAGGAGTACTCTGCGTTGATACCACTGCTT